AATGTATTTTAAAGTATAAAAAACTACTTGTTTATTAGAAAGGAACTTTCAAAGAACCTGAACATGATCGAACATTCAAGGGGCATGATGAGTTATAACGGAAAGTCGCGCTAATCTGCGTGTGTACTATTGCCCATCTTAATCTAGAATCAATGTAAGAACGCTGCCTGCAACTGTCTGTACGCTGTTAAGGACGGAATGTACGTCATCATTAATATTAGTCCTCACCATCCAAAACTAAAAATATTACTGAACAATCGAATTCATGCTTCCTGCTGGTCATTGAATATAAGACATGAAATAAGAAATGATTAGATAAAGGAATGGCAAAAGACCCTAATGAACCTAGAGAATGAGCCAAAAATTGTGATTTGTTAGAATTTCGATGCCGTTAACGTCATCGATTTTTCGCAATTTAAAAATATGTCGCATCCGAAATGGGCACTCTGTCACAAAAGTGTACTATGAAAGTGCAGCCCGGTTTCACTGACAGAGTCCAAAATTGCATCCCACCTGCTTATAAAAGCGCTCGAAAAATTCCAAAGTTAGAGTGTTTTAATGTGTGGTTTATTTAATTAAATAGTCAGCACAACATTTGAGTGAGTATACTTTAGCAATAGGAAGTATAAAGAGCCGCCTGCAAATTTTAGCTACGCCTTAATTGATCGAGCGTGTAACGTTTAGAGCTAAATTTTGAGAATATCCCCCGGACACAAACGCTCTTCCAGGTGACCGAACGTACCAATATACACGGCCCTACCAAGCATACAACGACCGATAAAATAAGATTAAATTTAAATTACTCAGCAAGTAATGACGCAAATGTTTGAAATTTAGACCAAATAAACTATCATTAATTTTAATTAATCCATCAAGGCACATTTTGGGTAATGAAATTGATAAAATTATACGTTACAGAAAATTTTTTGTTAAATTATTGGACATAATAAAATAATCCCTTTTATTTATTTTAAAGCACCATTGTTACACTACCTACTCCAAAATAGTTTACTCAAAAATCACCGACTACCCCTCAAATTTTTCGTTAATTGCGCATAACTTCGTAATAAATGATTCAAATGCCATACAATCTTAACTGTAGTTTGCGCTTCTTTTGACCTACAAATATGCATAATTTTATTATATATTAATGAGTAAACGGTCGAGATAATCATACCCGATTTTACGTAACCGAAATAGAGAAATTAAACATTTTGACATAAATGTTTAAAATTATAATAAAAAACCTTTTCGGTAACAATACCATAAAAATTTATATTAATTAAAAAGCTGTTAATAAGCACAACAATATTCAGCAGAGATTTTTCTAATAAACCGAACGGTTGCAAAGTTATTAAAATTTAAAAATGTATATACAAATATACAAATTGTTATCTGAATCACATGTGTTACATTTATGACGCGTTACAATGCAAATTAAGTCTGCGCTGCACATATTGTGAAACAACTAAGCCATTTTGTTAGTGAATATGTCAGAACGACACGAGTTAAATGAATTTGAACGCGAAGTCCTCATTGGAAGGTGGCTATTTGAACACTCTGAACGGGGCATTGAGAAAACTGGCCACCCAAAAAGCACAATACACAATATGAAATATATCGTAAAGCTGATACCACAACTCCTATTCCACACAGTGGAAGACCTCAAATATCAACAGATAGGGATAAACGGCATCTTGAAAGGATTGTTCGGTCTAATCGTCCACAATCCGCAAGACAGGCAAGACAGGTACATGGAAACTTTGTACAATCATCTGGAATTGTTATCGGTCTTTTAACAGTCAGAAGAACCTTGTATAAAGCAGGGCATCATAGTCGAGTTGCTGCCAGAAAATCACTCATTTCACCGAAAAACCGCTGTGACCGATTACGGTGGTGTCGGGAACACAAAGCAGATAAAGAACGAAAAAAAGTAATCTGAAGTAATGAATCTCGGTTTACTCTATCCAAAGTGATGGTAGAACTTGGGTTTGGAGACTCCCGAAAGAAAGATATGGCATTGATTGTGTTCTCCCAACAGTTAAATATAGTGGTGGCGATGTAATAATGGTGTGGGGCTGTTTTGCATGGGACTCTTAATCAAAATTAGCGGAATAGTTAACAGTCAGAAATATATAGAAATCTTAAATAGCCATTTGGTCCCATTTATGCAAGGACCTGAAGAATAAATGGACGATTATGAATTTCAACAAGACAATACTCCAGTCCATACAAGCAAATTAACAACATTCTTTGAAAATTCAGAAATAAATGTAATGAAATGGCCAGGACATAGTCCTAATCTCAATCCCATTGAGCATCTGTGGGATGGGCTGGAACAACGAATTAGTAAATGAGACCCACCACCGACATCTGTGAGGTAGTTGCCTGTAATTCTTCAAGAAAAATTCCAAATGCAATATTTCAAAAACTTATTCTGAGCATGCAGAGCAGATTTAAAATCTAAAGGCTTTGCAACAAAGTATTGGTAAATTTTAAACTAGATTTATCTTGTGGTTATGCCTGAATGCCATTCCTGATATACGCTTTATTAATATTTTGTTGTATTTTATACATATAAATGTAAAAATTTATTTTTCGACAATAAAGTAGCCTAAACACGCCTTGTTTTTAATATTTGATCAAGGCTTTTAAGTACTTTTGAATGAATATAAATTTTTATGGTATTGTTACCGAAAAGAATTTTTTATTAAACATTTATGTCATAATGCTTAATTTCTCTATTTTCGGTTACGTGAAACATTATTCGATGTGGATGTTGAACCACTAATTCAGACAATTTTTTTTCCGACACTTTATACATTAGTCCTAATTAGTCCATTTGTGTTAGTTATTTATAATCGATGATGGTTTGAAGAATGGCAGAATACGCTGTACAACCATAAAGAGAGTGTCTGAATTTATTGATCCCTATATCGGAAACTAATTGTCCCGCGATTATTCCCGGACACATACGATAATTACTTTAACGCGTTTGTTATAGTCGTAAATACACTTATAACCCCAACCGGTAGACTACCAAACTAATCCCAACGGTAGAGAACCGAGGCATACTCGAGGACGGATCAATTATCGAGGGATTAGCGTCTACGCATCGACACTAAGAGTCGTGAGTAGGAAATCCTTGTTTAAAGGTCACTAAATGCATTTAAAGTATGTGGGCCACACTCTGCATCCTGCGAGTCAACAGCCAACCGCTCTCCCGTGATTGTTGACTCGACAATAAAATGTTCACTTTGTCTGGTTTAAATCATAAATCCCGAAAACGGATTTTATGCGATACTTGTCAACATTTTCGGAATGGCTTACAGTATAATGCTCGTAAGGGGGAAGAAGCGAGAAACCTACTGAAAAATACAAAAAACATCTGGTTATAGCTAAGTTAGAGAGAAATTATTACTAAACCAACAGAAGAGAATAGATGAGAATGGGAGGTAAAGCTGATTATTGTAACCTTGACGTTACTGCTCATTACCACATTCTAATCAACAGGAAAGTAGGATTTATTATCTTAGTCTGAGTAAAGTGCATTTTCCTGGTATTCACAAATTAATTATGCTCTCGATGAACACGATATAATAGACAAAGGTCCTAATGGCACGCTAAGCATGGATTTGAATAGGGGTGAAAGCATTTAAAGATTACTTGTAACAATGCAGGGAAATAACATTACAATTTTATTTGGTAATTGCTGTTAGTATGAAAGTGTAAAATCAAATTTTGTACTGTGCCCTAAAACGAGGCTTTTTTTTTTCCAGCAACACAAGAAGCTACGTTACTTTGATCAAAAAGTACCCGAGTCATTTTATTCATTTATTACCTCACCTGCAGGTTACGATTATCACCATCCAATCATAGTGATGCTGCATTCCCCCCTTAAAAATCCCTGTTAACTTAATATTAATCTTAAGCGCTTGTTGGTTAGATCGACATCTCCAACTCATTTATCATGTGTCTGACTAAAAAAAGTCTTTCGATGTTGACTATGAGTGAGACAGGGGAAATCTCTAAATATTTGGTACAAATAAACGTTTCTTGCGTATGGGTAGCAACCACAAAACTACCCTCTTCTTCCTTGCCTGCCGCTCAATCTCCCGCTATGGTCATAACAACAAACATCACCCACCACGACTACGCTGCTGAATCTAACCAACTCGGCACATCGTTTGTTGCACATTCGGCGTTGCAAGAACGCCCAGCATGGAAAAACAAAAGGTTCTATCCAGGCAAAAAAATTTAGATGGGATGATGAAGGTTTTCTTAATGCACACAATATAGCTTTGTTGTTTGACTATCGGATCCCATGCCGTTTATTGGAGAGTAGAGTCTATCTCGTTGTACCTGTACTAAATATGTACCGATCAAAGGAGGAGCCAACCTTTGGGGACGGGGGTTGTACTCTGTAAAAGTGAATAAGTATCGACGATGTTTAATGGAATGCAGTCGATCAATCAAAGGAGATATATCTATGCGTATGATGATTAAGCACATTGTCCAAACATGGTGTATTATTAATATGCAATTTCCAATCCTTGGCATCTGATACGAGCTTGAAAGGAAATGGGGATAGAGATGAGATGGATTAATTGTGGGCTGGTAGAATTATGAGCGATTGCCAATCACTGATGTGGATGTTAGTCTTTGTTTAAACCTAACAATGGAAACTGTTGAAATTGTTATAGTAATGGCGAAAGTCCCGCCAACTAATCGAACATTGTAACTTCTTAGCGAACAAAATAATGGATTCAGCAAGCTCTATTCCTTAAGAAATAAACTTTTGAGATCTTGGTTCGAGAAAATGCAAACTTTGCTACAATCCGGTTAATCTTGAACTGCCGAGAATTACTTTGACATTATTTGCTACACCTCATGACTAGTTTCGATTTGCTTGCTTTGAGTTTATTTAGTTGCGTGGGTGGTGTTACAAATTCATCTTCATTACATTATATTACTTTTAAAACTAAAAAAGTGTCATTTATTTACACGGTCACTTGTCTTGCGAGTGTAGCTCCAGCTCTACGCTCTCTTGCAGCAAGGAACGCGGCTCTCATTTGAAAATAGTCTTTATGTAATCCGCACTCTGACTTCGCCTGTCCTTCCCATCGTCCTGCTCGTTCGTTGTTGGATGTATTTGAGACAGGTTTGGTGCTGTGCCAATCACCAATTGAGCGGTAGCCTTGATCGATCAATGGATTATATGGTACCTATTATGGGAATAACAAAAAGCACAATTATTAGCGAAAAAGTAATTATCTTGTGATTAAATTAACCGACACCACATCCATGCTACTCACCTCATTAGCTCGTATATACGTCCAGACTTTCTGGAAGTCCCAATGAGCCAAAGGATTCAACTTCACTAATCCTGTTCCGTTTTCTACCTCTAATATCTTAAGAGCCTCTCTTTCTCCTCTCTGACTTCGCCTGCGGCCAGTGATGACTGCTTTCACTCGATTCTCCCTGTACGCTCTCTGGGCTGGTTCTACTTTAACCAGATAATCATAAATGTCCTCATCTGCCTCCCATAATTTCTGCCCATGGATACGTTCAAGGTCTTCAGCCGTTGAACAGCCGACAGGCTTGTACACCTTCAGAGGTGCATTGTAATGAGCGGCTGCACGATGAGCCAAGTCAATGGTCTCGGGGAAATGGTAAAGCGTGTCGAGGAATACCAAAGGGACAAGATGTTGTGGTTGAGTTCCGTTCTTCTCTGCACGCTCAAGGCTTACTTTTGATATCATATCAAGTATTACTAAACCTATAAATTAGGACAAAAGAGATTGTAGGTTATACGAAAATTCTAGAATAACGGTTAACAGTTACATAAGCCAATTCTGGAAAACAAGGCATCAAAATTGCGGGATCAAATTGCGGGGGATACCGGACAATCTGCACTATCTATTAATAATTGCCTCATTTGTCATAAATGATTTGAACTTCGAGCTGACAAGCATAATAATAATAATAACCCATTTCCAAATCCATAACTCCATGTTCGCTTGTAAAAAGTATATTTACCTGAGAGGCCGAACGCGGTTGTTTGATATAAATTAGGGATAGTGATAGTAGCCCATTCTACTATTTCCTGAGGCGTGAGTTTGGCCAACCCTTCGTTCAAAAACTCGAGGTGTTCCTTTGTGAATAGAGGGGTTTCTTCCACGGGCTCTTCGACGAAATTTTGAGAGTTGGGTGCCATTGTTTAATCAGATTCGACGGAGGGTTTGGTTTGGTTTGGTTGATTGTTTAGCAGTCGTGAGATAGTCGTTCCTTGTTGGGTCGGTCGTTGAAATCGGAGTGCTCTTTTATATTTTTTTTCTTGTCCCACATAACAATCTTTGCAAATCTAACCCAAATTTTTTTTTCTTTTCGTGTTTGATCTTCAAAGCAAAATTTATTGATTACCGACCAATCATATCACCATCCGATGGCGTCATATACACCGAGATTTAGCAAATTTTGTTAATAAGCAATTGACATCTTTCAATGAAACGGAAATAGATGACAAACAGACACCAGATCAAGAAATTTTCCGAAACGAGTTAATAGAATCTAATATTGGCACCTGCTTGCGAATACATGACGAATTATACCATTACGTATGTCCAGAAACATTGATAAGCAAAAATAATTATTCATCAAGATTGCGTTTCTCCGAAATTTTGCCGTGAATAAAAACATCACCGGCTGTTACACTCAACTATTTTGTTATTTATTTATTCGTTATCAGCTAATCTATTATATTAGCGAGACCCACGTGCACGAACTCAAACTTCCATGTGATTCCGATTGCAAGGGGGGGGCTATGACACAATCCCCTTCCGACATCCCGCGACGGCCCTTTTCGACACAATTCCAAGCACACTCAATAGAACGTTCTACTTATGGCTATAATACCGACCCGACTATCCTAACAGGTTTTGCTTCTGCTATGGTTAAAGTTGGGACATCTTAGAATTGCAATCTACGCAAGCCCTTGATAAGATAACTTAATTAAAATGATAGTACAAGAACTCTATGTAGACCGATCCGACATCCGTGGGTTGTGTGTGAAATAAGCAGCATAGAGCTGAAATAAGGCTGTTGCGCATGTGATGAGCAGGATGTATGATAGGTGATGAAGATGGTAATTCCAGTGCAGATTCTCATGATAGTAGCGCACTTAGTTCTCAAGTATGAGTTCAGCTGATAAACCTTAGTTTGGAAATTTCTGACATACATTCATGTGAGAATTAAGAATTAAAGTTGTTTAAAGTAGGTCAGTTTAATTTTCTTTATTATGGACTTGCGGCCTACGCGTATCCATATCCGGTAATAATATTTGGCAATTTACCCCGTTATCAGTATGATTAATAATATATCGACTGTGACCATTCCGACCCGCGGATTTCGAATGCAATATGATAATATGATATACGAATCTAGTAAACGAGACAGGTGACGACCTTTGCATATGACCTACACTAAACAACAGCATTAATTGCCCTTGTTGTCTATTCATACTGAGACAAATGCAGACCAGGGGAGTAACGAGGATAACAGTTTGTGCAAACAATTAGGAAGACTCAAGATTAGATAGAACCTATGAGAGATACGACTATGAGATACGATTACGAGATACAACTATTTGACGCGCTTTACAATTAAAGCAGATGTAGCAATTGAGTCAGTCGTTTGTTTTTCGTTTGTTTTTCGTTGTTTTTTTTTTGAGCATGCAAATTATGTTTATATGAACATAACTTTTTAATCCATGCTTTTTTGCTCATATAGATTTAATAAGACTGCGTGTAATCTTACCTGTTATTTAATCAAATAATGTGGCAATAAATTAAAGACAAGCTCTCAAATATTCTCTCAGCGACGCGTAATTTTAAAGGTTTGGACCAAGTTTGTAAAAGAGCAATGTTTTAGTATCAAGTAAGCAAGCGCGATTCGAAGGACATGGTAGCAGACGATAAGAGCAAACTAAAGCAAAAAAGAGCTGATCATGCTCGATATAATACGAACAAGGTTGTATTGACAAGTGCACAACCAAAATGATGCCGTAACTTGGAAGAATTGACAAGTCGGTTTCGCGTGACGTTTAAATAATGGGCGGTGTCTTGTTATTAGGAGCGTATACTTTCGGTAGTAATATTTGTATTACTATCATCTTCTCTTGTTGGCGCAAAAAACCTAATGATGCTCGCGTGTAATGTAACGGGAACTCACAAGCCACCTGTTGTCTTATTCACCGAAAGATGCGCTTGTAATGCCGGAACAACATTATTTATTGGCATTGGTCGTCGATCTTTCAGCGTAACAGCGGCTCGCAATGCTATTGATAGGACAAATTAGCAAGCATTAGATAGCTCTCCTACCTAGCACTACTACTCCCATTGATAAGGGAATAATTGGTCAAGTCAACTTGTAATGTAGAAGATGCATTTGATCGAAATTCCTACTCTAATGCAATCGACCGGGCTGCAGCAACCAAGGCTGTAATACACATAGGCTGGGAAAGAACTGGTATTCCAGTGATGAGGATATTAACAATGAATCGCTGGACAACCCCATGGGACTACGACAACCGATGTCTGTAAACGAGCGAATTGCTTAATGATAAATCCCGAGAATGAAGGACAGTCAAAGTTGATTTATATAATCATTGCAACAGATAAATAAATAGTTTATTTCCTTCAAAAGTGAATATTTTGTTCAAACAAGCTAGTATGATTATTTATCTAGAGTAAGTATTCTTTTTTTGTGTCCAATTATTTGCCTTCTATTATTATCACCTTTATTATCATTTACTTACTTACTTTTATACTATTAAATAAAACATTTAACAATTTCGGTCACGCGGTTTTCTATATGCATGACATGATTATAGTGTTGTATGGCGTAATGTAAACGAGGTCTGATCGTATTGGTACAACATTTATCTTGGAGGTCCATACTTTTTACATATTTGTAGTAGACCTATACATTGCGCGTATTGCTGGAGATATGAAGGCTCGATCAGAGAACGTTTGTGCTCTAATGTTGTTTCGAATATCAAACGAAGTCCTCTGTCAAAATCAGTAAATATACACATTAAATTAGTATCCTTCAATTCTCCAATTTACGCAATTATCACATCAAAATTTCAAACTCGGACCTGTTCTTCGTCAGATTGTGCTTCTTCGGTATTTGTGGTATCGTCCATTTCCGTGGTTGTTCGGTTATCATTGCTGGTCAACAGCTCTTCTTTCAAAGCTTCGCTTGCTCTATGTAGAACGGATTCGCGGTTCTCTCCAAGTCGTGCGAGCTTGGACCGTAAACCATTCAACAAATACTCATCGGAAGCGGATAAAGGTGAAACGACGTGTGCGAAATCAACTGGTCCTTCACACGATCTTGTCATTTGACGCGATACTTCTTCTGCAACTCGTTTTGCTAAAGGAGTATCTGTTACTCCATGTTTCTTCTCGTAGTACTTTCTTGAGATTTCCTCTAGCTTATCTAGATTTTCATGACAATCAGAGGCATCCTAATCACGATTAATTAACTCTATATCTGTACTAGTACAAGTGGGTCTCGATATAACGACACTGCTATATATAACGACACTGCTATATAACGACATCTCGTTATAACGACAGGAATCTTAGAACGAAAATTTTATATTGCTTAATTGTCGTATGTAAGTTAATTCTCGATATAAGGACATTCTCGATATAATGACCATTTGGATTGGAACTGAGCGTGTCGTTATATCGAGACTCACTTGTAGAGAGGGGATAATAGTAGGCCATGCAGAGAGACTCACTAGTGAAAATGCCCTGATATGCTCTGTTATTGAATTGAACTCGTGAAATGCATGTCTAGAAAAGTTTTGTCGTGTTAAAATCTCTAACCGACTCGGATAGATTCATACACTATAAACACCAACATACTTTTTGGGGTCGATGTCAGTCATTATGTTGCCGAATTCGCCGCATGGATCTGCCACTGCTACAAACACGAATGCTTGAGACGTTCTGAGTTTTTTATACACAAACGCTGCATCCTCCAATTCGTTCTCTTTGCAATACTCGTATAGCGCATACAAGGCCTGCCACATGGCTAAGTGAAGGTAAAAAGCATTGAGGAAAACGCACAAGTCACTAGAGGTGGTGAGAGAAAAACCTTACTTGGTGACAAGCGAATCTTTACGCGGAAAAAGGCTTCTGGTTGTGTGAAGTAGAGAAGGTACAACGTAAACAGCACGCCAAGTCGAGTTTCCAAGTAGTTCGCTGTATCATAATGGGCTGTTTTCCATTGTTAACGTCGCATAATTATCGTAGATAAGCGTTAAACAGCAAACCGTAAAACTTACATAAAGTTATCTGATAGAGACACTGCATGAAAAGCTCTCGACCCGATTTTTCTGGACAGACAAAGTGTATCAAAGAGAATTGCAAATTCGTCCAGACTTGGTTGAAGGTTGCATAGTCAGTTGAAGACTTCTGATGGTAGGGTCAACTGTCGGTTAAAAAAGTGGTTCTGTATAGAGCACATTAGTTGAGCCTTATTAACGAACCTCTACGTAGCCCTCAATTAACAGCCGAATGTCTCGTTCGAGTGCTTTTCTCTTGACGCGTTCATTACCAATGGTTATGTGCTTGTCGGTCATCATGAATTCCCACAGACAAAGTGAACATATGCGCCACAACCAATTTTAGGGATTCAAAAATTTTATGCGCCACAATAGTCAAAAACAAATCGAGTCCTCAATTCAAACCAGGCTCTCTCAGTCCGCCAGCCAGGCCCGGCACCGCGGTAGTCATCAGATCAGTCGTTTTTGCGGTCCAAAGCTTTCGGTCATTTCAATTCTTTATTAATAACTGCATGATAAAAAAGATGATGGCTATTGTTAATATTAAGGAATAATCCAATTGCACGTGAGCAATAAGGCAATGTGTTGTCGCTGAACTAATCAAGACAAAATCAAACGAATCAACCTCAGCGCGTGCCTTTTCCTTCGCAACAATTCTTCTATAAAGAATAAGATAACGAAACGGGAGATCATGTCACTAACTATCAAGTCGGTCTTGATGTACAATTGCCGTTTGCGAATGGGTGCTTTTATATCAGCCAAATATAATACGTTACTAGCGATCCCATACCGAAGACTCATGACTTTCTCACGTTGAACCGCATAATTAGCGGCGAGAGGAGGCGAATAGTAATAAGAGCCCAATAAGTCTCTGATCAATCATGCTAGTACTATTTATTTCAAAAAGGATCTTATTAATATGCTTGCAAAAATATTTTCTTTAGGTATGAACTAATTTTTTTGGCAAGACTAAATCTGCAGACTTCAACTACGCCTATGTTAGAACGGATCAGTTATTTAATTACGGCAACATTCTAAAACCAATAATCAGTGACCCGTTCAACCTCTTCAACGTTGAATAAATCCTATTACTGATCTTATGTGCGTACACTTTAATTCGATTTGCATCTCAAGAGAAAAGAATTGGTTAGTTATTAATCGACATGATTAAGCATAAAGTGCGTTGATCGGAAAATACACTGTCGCATTGTTCCAATTACAAATTTCGAATAATTAGAAAGACATGAAAGTAGAGATTAAGTGGTATGTATTCCCACTTGGACTAGCTTTTTGCAGCATGCTCTCTCTATATTACTGCTGGAATGTGATTTGTAGTACGTTAACGTTAGTATTCGGGTACGTAATAAACACACAGAGATTCGAATCAATTCGTAAAGTCGCAGGCATAATACTCAGACCCTCTTGATTGGATGTTGAGACTTTTCTACTAACACATTCGAGTTCTATTTACCTCTTCAGAATGCAAGTCTATATCATCTATAGCAAATAAATACTCAAATTTTTAGTATCCAACCCTTTTTCCAACACAAAACGGCTACAAGTGAGATTGTAAACATGTATCCACAAATTATTGACTCGGCTATAATAGTAGATGCATATAATGTCCTTATTGTCAGATTAATCAACCCAGTTAGAAGATTTGCCTAGTCGCAAGATGAAGTTAGTTTTTTATCAAAAAAGCATTGCCTCAAACACATTACTCATGCTTACCAGTAGAAAAACTGCCAACCCATTTTTATTAAAAGCTTCCATAATATGAGGTACATATAGACCCTCTTTTACCCAGTATCTGTCAAAAAACATTAATTCTACAATTTGAAACAAGCACAAGAACCCGGTATTGTATACAGCAACCCAAAATACATAACCAAGATTGGCCATTTGTCTGGACACTTCAATGCCCCACACTAGAGCCACCATGAATCCGATGCTCCATACTATCGCATATGAAAACAGAATCATGGCAAGTTTTCTTTGTTTGGGCTTTATGCTTGGTTTGCGGTTCTGACGGAAAGCATAGTAGGGATCGGCTGGAAGAATATAATGACCCGTATCAAACGCGAAGATAAATATGGCAAGATAACCTTTAATAGCAGTTAATGGGATTTGGCATGAGCAATAGGTTTCAAGTCGAGTTTGATAAAGACATGCAAAGAAATCGACAAGAGTCGCAAGGCCATCAATCGATCATATTGCACTTACCAAAGAAGCTGAAAATTCCCTCTTTGTTGGCGCTGATTAAATTTGTTCGTGGTGCATTCTGAATATAATCCTGAAGTCCAAATCTCGATAAAGCTAACTGATAAACTATAATGCACAAACAGGTGAGAACATGACAAAATCATTGGTGTAGCGCACTTTACGATCTGTTCCTTACCTACGATTATAACTAGCCCAAGCACTGCGAATCTCGCATACCTTTCTACTGCTCGACATAGGGTAACAAATATTGGCAAAAATGCAAGAGTAAAGAAAAAGTTCCAATGCACCCCATATTCAGAGACGTGCTCTTGATAATCAACTCCTTTGACGGCAATTAATCGAGCAAATCCTAGGACAAAAAGTGGAAACGCATGTTTGCATGCGTTTATAAGTTGACCTCCAAGAGGCTTGAATCGGTTTTCAGGGCGTTTTAGAAAAGGTTTAGCCGCTACTATTCCAGCCGAGAATACGAACGAACCAACTCCTAGATCCATCTATAGAGTAATAGTCATAATCGATCGTGTTTGTTATTTTTCCATCCGAAGAAACTAGCGACGCGACGCGACGCAACGCAACGCGACGCAACAAGACAGAAAAAAAAAAGACCAGATCAAAGTACCCAGATCATACCAGAGACGTCCCAAACGTTTCGACCTTTGCAAATCGCCTTGGGAATACAGTAAAATCGACAGCCAATATAGCAATACAAGTGACAATCATAATGCCTGCTCTATAAACACTCAGGAACGGTTTTCTTGTTCCATTTACCAAGTGTTCCTTAGTCTTTGGGCCCTTCTCCTCCTCATTAACCAAAAGTTCTTTCAACTCCTCATCGTCGGAATCCCTTTTCCATTTGCTTTTCTTTTTCGTTTCCTGTTTTTCTGCTGGCTTGCACGCACGAACTATGCATACCGCTGCTGAGATCAAGGTCACATTGATGTAAAAGGCATATGACGACAAAAGAGTACATGCCAGTAAACTCGGAAATACTAATACTAGAAATTCAAATAAAAGTGTTCGTAGAGTTGAGGAATATACTTTTATAGAGATCTGTGTGTATTTGATCAAGGCTGACCAGAGAATGTATGAACTCTTGAGAAAAAAGAAAACCCGATTTGACGTGGTAAGTGTTGTTTCAGCGAATGCCTAAAATGATACGAACACGAGTTTTGCTGATACATACCAACATGACCCCAGTAACCATATTTATCTCCCACATCGTCCCTCCAGTGTGTCCGGTAACCCATATTACTTTCTCTTCCTTGTAAGTTGCACTTTCGTAATCCATCGAAGATAGTAAAGAGATTTTCTATCTGCAACGATTTACAGTATTAGTATATCTGCAGTGCGGTCGGTAGTCCGCGATGTAACACGAAGTACAGCAGACGTAACAGTCTAAATGCTAACATATATTCGATCGTTTGATTGGCTATTATAGATTCACTTTTCATTTATAATTATTAAATATAAACAAGCTCTTATTGATATTAAACTTGTCATTATTTTTACTTTGTTTTTCTGCTTATTCAAAGGAAATCGTAAATATGAGCTTGAAAACTTTAATATCGCGTATGAACAAAGACAGCACGTCTGTGATGTTAGAATAACAATAATTGTAGCAAATTTAAAATGATATTGGATTTGTGTTTGGTAATATAAGATCTTCAATCACCAAAATGGCGGGTGTTCTCACCAGTCTTTTTGGATCCTCTTTTAATACCTCTGAAACCCACATATACTCTTCTATTGACAGTCACCCTAAATCCCCCCCCCAAATCCCAAAAAAATTGCCCCCAAAAAATTTTAAATTTTCATTTTAATCCGATTTCGTTTTAATCTGTCACAATTAACAATAATCGTGTTATTTATATTATTGTTCTACTGACATGTATAATTTATCAAATTCGATTGGCTCGAGGAACGCAACTAGATAGTATTTAGTCAAACCCAAACATTAATTATTTGATGTGAACGGAGCCGTCTTGGCATATATGGTTGACACATTTGTGTTTGGCAATTTTATTTCCGTTGGCTGCCGTTAAATCTATATCGTTATGGGCTTGTTAAGACTATGCAGCAATATCATGAAAAGAGTGGTAATATGTCTTTGAGGATGTTGTACCTCAGTTGGGGACCTGTCTCAGTTCTGGACTGAGATGACTGGGTTCTGGACTGAGTGTCTGGGTTCTG